ATTGCAGTATCACGAAACACTGTTTGAACCATTGTAGTGTAAATCGGTAATATTTTGAAGATTAGCATATAGCATATCTAATATATTTCCTTAATCAAAACATACATCCATTTTGCTTTAATATTTTAGTGTTTTTCTTGTGAACCTGGTTACATAGCAATAGAAGACTGCCCTGGGAATTTTACTAGTACTAAATGTGAGGAGTGCCTAAATGGAACATACCAACCAGAATGTGTTACCTTCAACGAAACCGTTAGTTGTAGAAACTGTACAGTTTGTGATGCTTATAAAGAAAACTGTACAATATACAAAGACGCTGTTTGCGACCTGAAAAATGTTTCCCAAGATAGTAGTGGTAATACATTATATAATTTAAAAGCTTTGTCTTCTTAAATATAATGCCGAAAATACAGACAAAAAGGAAAATCTTACTATAATCAACATTAATTATTAAACCTAAATATCGTTTTTACTGTTGATAACCAACGTCACAAAGCAAATGTTCTAAATCATTGTCTAAAAGAGGCGTTATATTAAAATACTTACAATAGACGGGTTATTTTCAGAAAATACGCGCGGTAAAGAGTCAAACGGTGTTTTTAGTAAAAGCAGGTAGTCAATCGTCCTTTACATAATTCAGGTACCTTTTCAGAACCTTTTCTGCTCTACCAGGACTGTACATTCTAAAGGTCAAATCAAAATGGCCGCCATTGACCTTCACCATTTACTTAATAATTTATTATTTGTGGTTTAAAGTGTATTGTGTGCCCATTAATTCACATGGAATAAAGTTCCAGATACTTTTAGGAATGATTGGCTAATAATTAAACATGAATTGCACTTTGACTACCATGGCGGTCATCTTTGATTTCAAAATGGACACCATCTTTTGAAACAAATATAAGTAAAGTGCTTTTAAAAAAAGGATCTTTCTATCAAAAATACAATAATGATATAAGCAACATGTCATGTACAATTGTACACAATGTTAAGGTATATTACATACTTTATTTATGAATTCCATCATGACCTCAAACTATTATAGGTCCTTCTTTATGGACAATTAATCTATGTCAGGTATATGAGATCCTAAATGTCTTAACATAAAATCTGCACAATTAAACTTACCATTAGATGTTAAAGATTTTAATTTTGATATAATAGCATATGTGTTAACATTTATGGACACTAAATCAGTTTAAAATTTGAAGGTCAAAAGTCAAGGTCAGTTTGCCTATATTTTAAAAAAATTGCCTTTTATCTTCACAGACCAGCGACTATGCCCCTGGGTCAACATGCCATTGCAACAACATCTGCTGAACGACCCCGTTTTAATAGAAAAAAGACCCCCTAGCATAAGTTTAAGCAGACTTCAACATAATTCATAAAGTGTCGTTTTTATCAATCAGCTTGTTTTGATTTTTGTGAATTATTTTAATCATGCCTAGATTTATAAAACGTTATGGTTTAAAATCAGATCATCTAAATAAATATTTAATCCATTTTAAACTTTCTTATCTCTCACTTTGAAAAAAAACATCAAAAACAATGGTTTTTATATTTTAACCATAAACAGCCTACGGGCTTGTAATATGTTACCATGAATGAATAATACAGAATAAAATATTATTAGTTTACCGCGGGTATTCATGTACGGAAGCACAGAGGGGACATTCCAATTTTTTTTAATTTCCCTGTCTCTTGGCCAAAAAAAAAATTCGTTATCTCGTTCCCAAAAGATTTAACTCAGAAAAAAACTAAAAACAAAATTTGCTATCTCGTGGCCACGAGTTAAAACTCAGAAAAAAAACTACAAAAATACAAAATTTGCTTTCGCATGGCCACGAGTTAGCCGACCAATTAGATGAACATATCTAAGTCGTCGTAACGAGTTAGCTGGACCAATATACTCGAAAATGCGGTCGTTGATTTCGGCGCAAGATAGTAGTGGTAGACATACTTGCCAATATGGCGGCCTATAGAATTATTTTATGGCAACAATGTAGAATAAAAAGCTGTTTGGCCGACTCGTGAGAACAATATAGCGATTTTTTTTAAAGTTATATCTTGTGGCAAAGAGATACGAGATACGACATAGCATTTTATTATTATTATTATTTTCTGAGTTATATCTCAAGGCCATGAGATAGTATAAAATAAATAAAATCGGAATGTCCCCTCTGTGCTTTCGTATTTATGCCTAGAAGACCATACATTCGTTGTCAGTTCTATAACTTTAATATTGACTATTCACTGCTGTTTATCCTCTTTTGAATACCCCAGAATGATTTGATAAGCCACACTTTGTTTATTTAAGCTAAGTGTTTTTCTACTGAAATATTAAATGTAAAATATATGCCAACGATACCTTTGTCTTTACGTTTAAGTAAAAATGAAGTAGAATACGAGATTTTGTGTTTTTGACTAAATCTATTAGCATTTATTCATTGTATTAGTAAATATCAGCATTTACATTATATGTGACTTTACCAGGGTCGCTGTGCCTTAATCTATCTCATGTTTTTAAAATTGTTTATTGATATTCACGTGACAAGAATATATTAAATGTTTCTGACTTATTTTGTTCCCGGCTATCCTACAACAAATTGATATCTTATTCCATTATGTTTTAGCATGTTTCTTGATGTCATTTGCCATAATATATTTATCTCAGCCCATATTTTTCAAATATCAATCAATAATATTACTTTGGCATTTCTAAGTGCAAAATTTAGTGACTAAAATGGTACATGTAATAACTATTTTTTGCATTATCCTGACAATAATGTAACACCAGAATAAACAAGCGCTTATCGCTTGAACATGTACCCGAAGCGCGGCCCAGTAAAGAAACAATGGCCTTTAATAGCATGGTTACTGTCATAATCTTACAAGTCTTTTGCTTCCGAGGGATCACTTTCTTTCCAGATTTTTATACTTGACAACAGCAGGTATCAAGTGCTGTGTGGCAGCTGTAAAAAGTTGCCCCGTACGTCACTTCAGTGTTGTTATATTTTTCTGGTCCTTCGGGATCATTGATACCGGCACTATTAAGTGTTGAGTACCGCTCAAGCCGGTGCTTGGGGGCGTGAGGGATTTTGCACTTATTCAGTATTCCTCATGTACAGACTCAATCAAACCGAGTCTGCAATTCTTATGTGATTTTGTTGTGATTAATGCTTCCGAGGGATCACTTTCTTTCCAGATTTTTTTTACAATAATTTAGAAACATAAGGAAACATTTATTTATAATTTCAGTATGCCTTATTATTTTAAAAATCTGCTACTTATGCTTATCTCTTTCCAATGAATGACAGTTATGGACGGCACTAAATAGACAGACAGACAGACAGACATACATGTTGTAACTGAGTTGACATGTACAGATGTCTGTGACCCGCAATACCTTTTCAAACTCCAAAAGCAGTCTTTTTGTCCCCCCCCATAACCAAATTGAACGATAAATCCTAAAGGTCGGACATATACAGAATAAATGTCAATGCCAACTTAGAACAAATCAAATACACCTTACTGGCACATGAGGACACTCGGACATAGACATCTGAGCAGGCTTCCCACACATGAGCCGACTAAAGCAAAACTTTGTATTAAAATTTAAAACAAATGTGTTTTATCTCGCCCATGGGAGAATTAAGGTAAAAATAACACAAACAATGGTGGCCATTTTGAATTTGATTTTTAAGGTAAAGTAAGTAAGCACTGCTACCTGCTTGTACTAGACAATGCCGGTAAAATACATATTTTCCCCGAATCAAACCAGTCTAAAATTAGTAACTTTCAATTAAAATATGTGCTCTGAAAACAAAGACTTTGCTAGAGAAACTGTCTATTAACTTAGAAATCGAAAGTCAGATTATTGTGAATATTACATGTTTGCTTTCGATAAATTATCTACAATTTTGTTATGTCTTCGGATTAAAGTTACACCATGTAGTGCACATTTAAAGAACCTATTCCCGTATTTGTATTTTATATCGACTGTTTAAATATTCTTAATTCATTATCGTAAGTAAAAAGTGGTAACGTTCCTTAACATGCATAAGATTAATTTCAGTATTTCAGTAATAATAAGTAAAGAATGTAACAGTTCTGTATGTTTTCTATTTAACAGACGACAGCGGTGATCCATTTGAGGCCTGGATAGTAGCGATAGTTACTGCTTGTGGTTACATAGTAATAGTGGTCACCTTGGTATTTTGCGTTCACTTCAAAAAGTAATTATTTAATCATTTGTATATTGGGTAATTAAAGAAAAGCTTTTTTGGAGTAAAGTTTATTGTATTATAAAAGCGTACAATATGCCATAGTTTTCTTAGGCCTTATTTAAAAAGGGAGTTTATAAATGCAAGCATTATTACTATAGTAATTATTATTCTAATTGTTATTAATGTCATCATCATCTGCACTAAAGTTGTTATTGTCATTACTTTCATTATTATAATTGTCATTATATTTAATACATATCTATACATGATAACAAAAACTAAAACAATCGATATTATATTCTCAGAAATCGGAAATCTAAATGTAAAGTTGATTACGAAAAGTCAAGCAACTACAGTCAAGAAAACCAAGATAATGGAAATGGTTATGACACAGAAATGGTTATAAGTAAGATATTCTTGAACCCTCGTAAAAGTAAAAAAACAACATTTACTATTATTTAAAAATGATTGTATTCGGTAGATACAATGTTATAATTAATCATACATAGTACACAGAGAATATTAAAGAATAAATACACCCTTTGTTCGTTCATTTACATGTGTAGAATCGAAAAAACGCATGTTAAGCCGCGGGCCACTCAGCGAGAGATTTAATTTAGTCCAATGGTTTCCTGCAGATACCCAAAAGGATACACTGGCGTTATTAAAAGTATTCGTCCGATTCGATTATTTCGTGTTTTGTAATGTGCTTTCGTAAAGACAAACCAGTTTTGTTATGCCTTTAAAGTGCGAGTGAATAGTAATAATATTGTACTTTGTTCGTGCATTTACATGTACATGTGCAGAAGCAGGAGGGCGCATGTAAAGGCCGACCTCACTGGCCGAGGGATCTTATTAAGTCGGAGGGCTTCTGAAGATTTTGATATACGCAAAAGGATACATTAGCGGTATTATTGCACAAAGTATTCGTTTGATTCGATAATTTCGTGTTTTGTGATGTGTTTTCGTGAAGAGATCCCGGTTTAGTAATGTCTTTTATGCGTGGGTGAATTGTCATTGGTCAGTTTGTTTTAATTATGATATTAACAGGGCTGTCATAAAGCAGTCCGTTTTTACACGAGTCCCTGAAATACTCATGATAACAAAATGGCAAAATCATTTTATGCTTTATTTATTTTAACCGTTAATGCATGTGTTTCTCTCCGTTTATGTGCCGTTTGAGTCATTGTCTAGAATTAATGATCATCAAATAAGTTTTTGATACGATCAATTAATTTTATTATTATACATTGATTGCAGGTGATTACCGTCAAAAAAGTTATAAAGAAACAACCAATCGTTGTAAGGAAGATGTTGTGCAGAAAACAAGCATACACAAGAATAAAGGTAGCATCATTAATACTTATACATGTGTTATGTTGCAACATTTTTGAATTGTAGACCATAAAGTAAAAAATAATTTAGTAAATGGATAATATATGTAAGATAAATGTCCTTAACTAGTTAAATTGACATTCACTTTGAATCTAATAAAACCTACAAAGAACATAAATATAAGCTATGCCGAATAGCATCAGCGAACTTTATGCGCCGCCACGGGAGGTACGGGCTTTAGCCGTTCGTAGAAACGGCTGAACGGATAATAGCCCTACATAAAATCGTCTTGAACCAGTTAGCAATTACTAAGAAGCGTAGAAAGAGGAAGCAAAAATTTTATGAGAAAGTTATTTGATAAAATATTTTATATAGTTATTTTTACGGACATTTGTGGATATCATAAGACACACAAGACTTAATCTGGAAAGGACCAGGTTGGATATATTTGTTTCTATGGTGTTATTACCACCGATTGTTTTAAAACTTTGTTTTCTTTATATCGCCGACTGTCACTGAGTCATAACGGAAATATGGCATTGAGTCGAATTCCAACTGGGATGCGTGTGGCTGTTTTAGGTCATAGTTTTATTCGTCGGCTGCATGAAAACTTTAAACAAAATTCATATCCCTCAAACTACGATTTAGAAGAGTGTTCCGTGGTCCATTTTGGTACAGGTGGCTTTAGAGTATGTGATGGTGATGCAGTTACGCATTTCAGCTCAAAATTTGGGGATTTTCTGAGACAAATTGAGCCAAACATCGTAGTTCTTCAATTAGGAGGTAACGACGTCGATTCAGTAAAATCTTCTCTGGACATTGCCAATAGTGGGGAAAAGCTAGTCTAATTCTAGCTTTTATGGCGTTTTTCTTACGAAACCCTCACATTTCTTACTATTATAGTAGAACTCGATTAATTATTATTCCTACATGTGTATTTTCTATATTGTATTAATTTGCATAATATTGATGTATGTACTATTCTTTGCACATGTTTAAGTATTGTTAGTTAAAACAATAAACAGAGGCCATACCTTATAGTATGGTATGGCCATTAAACACAATTTGATAGTTTGTTATTCCTCGTGTGGCTGTTCATAAATATAAGCTATGCCGAATAGCATCAGCGCACTTTATGCGCCGCCACGGGAGGTACGGGTTTTAGCCGTTCGTAGAAACGGCTGAACGGATAATAGCCCTACATAAAATCGTCTTGAACCAGTTAGCAATTACTAAGAAGCGTAGAAAGAGGAAGCAAAAATTTTACCCTCCTCCACCCCCTTCACCACAACAAAATTTTAAGGGTCTCAGTGTAACCCACATATTTCAGTGATTGTTAGAGCGTTTTTCTTACGTAACCCTCACATTTCTTACTATTATAGTAGAACTCGATAATATTATTCCTACATGTGTATTTTCTATATTGTATTAATTTGCATAATATTGATGTATGTACTATTCTTTGCACATGTTTAAGTATTGTTGGTTAAAACAATAAACAGAGGCCATACCTTATAGTATGGTATGGCCATTAAACACAATTTGATAGTTTGTTATTCCTCGCGTGGCTGTTCATAAATTTTACTTATCATGACAATCAAGCTCGCTGACTTCAATGAGCATGTATATGTTAGACATACAGCTAACACCTAACACTTAATGTTATAAAAGAAGTTTATTTCATTTGTTTGTAACATGACGACCAATAATATAAAGATGCATAAAACAATGAATGTGCTTTAACGGCTTTGAGAAAGAAACTCTTTTTTAAAAATTCTTGATAAATTAACTAAATTTTAGTTAAATGGAACCTTTATTATAGATAAATCAAGTCTACATAACGTTGATGGCAATGAATTACCACCGAAATCCAACAAAAATGAAAAGCGCATTGCGGTGGTCCGTCCACATATTAAACCAAAGAGCAACGGTATATAAAAATATTTAGCTTTACTAGTTTTTATTTAGATGCATCTTTTAAGCAGGATTTTGATAATGTGATAATGAAATTTAAATACAAATTGCACTCTGAAAAAATGTTCTTAAAACAGTCTAATTTATTTTAAAAAAATAAAATGAATCAAAAGCCAAACCAAATGAACCTGTACGAAATTTTATTAATTAAGATTAATATTGAATTGTAAAACTTGCACTGGTCGTATAAATTGAAATAATAAAGACCAAACTCCAACATCGAAAGGAATCAATATAAGTGCTATGCTTTTCCGATCCATAAGCATGTAAGCTTGCGAACTTAAACTAAAACAGTCTCTTTCATACCATTCTTTATCTTATAGAAAATTATTTAAACTCATATTGTTTCTTTTTTTCAAATACATTATATATAGTAATTTCACTAGGTCTGTTATTTCATCTTGATATAATATGATGATTCACGTTGTCTTTAAGACTGCAAAGAAGTAGAAAATTCAGATGACATATTACAACATAGAACAAGGGAAAGTTTTCAGGTAACTGGCGTCTCCGAGAATACACAAGGTAAGGAATCAATATTTCTATAAGCTTTTCTTCCCTTTAAACGTTAAAATTAAATAGATTGTTGAAACAAAGTGGAACTGAATTTTATCTTCAATCATTGTCCTTGCATGTATAAATTCATATAATAATGATAAAATATTATTAATTAATATTAAACATAACTAAATAAACTTATCATAACCGAAAGCTCATTATGATTAGCTAACACAATTAACTTAAACTGTATAACCAAAAACACTATATAAACCTTAAGCATATTTAAAGGCTATTTTTAATAAAGGAGATAAAGTAAAACACAAATACGCAACCAAAATAATCAAAATGATCATTTGCCTTACACAGTTTTATAATTTTATCATCAACAGGTATATTTCGATACTGCCCAGTTTCTATTGCTTATTCTTGTTAGGTATCTAACTTGTAACATACCAGGAATGATAAAGTGATAGCATCGGCATAATTACTAGGGAAAACGCAAATGAACAAGTTTACAAAGGGCAGTAAGTTTTATGCCAGGGGTTTATGGGGCTTAATAGTGACCTCCAAACACATGTATTAGGTTTCATGTGCATATTTTCAATTTTCTTTTAAAAAAACTGATGTCATATGTTAAAGTTTCATATGAATACCACCAGTTCCGCAGATTATATTGCTTGAAAAATTTTAACCAAGGATTTTATAACTTCACTAGAGGCCATTTATTCCTCATTTATTCAGTTTGTCAAAATGGACCATATCATGCTAGTGTTATATATTGAGTATGTAAAGTTACAAGCAAATATTCTTAGTGGTTCATAAAATAAAATGATAGGAGAAGATATTGCACCCAAATCTTAAACTTAATTGGTATGCCAACACGGACACTGACACCATAAGGAGTAGGACAGCAACACTCATCGCTACAAAGCTCACCAGGGTCCACCCCTTTTTTAACAAGTGACATGACACCTTGCAATCTTCTAAATTTTCTTTGTTTCATTTTTCGCCACACATATTTTTTAATGAGAAAGCAAGGTTTTCCTCAAGAATCAGGGACACTAAGCTCAAAATGAAGGATCATTAAAGATAAATGTGGCGGAGTAGTCTACACATTTTTATTATGAAAACTAATATGAAAAAGACAAAGCCTCAAAGCAAGCTAGATTTACTTTTAACATGAAATAGTAAAAAAATCGTTATTTTTTATTTTACATTTTCCGTTTTAAAATTGTCATCCGGTATTTTATTAACTGCTTCCGTTTATTCTGGTTCCCTGTCCAATTATGGTTCCGATATAAATGCGCAGGACACCAGTCTACGCTTCCGTTTTCAATCAGAATAAATCGGTTTTTTCGTTATCTTGTAATTCTAAAGTTGCGATGTGTCAATTCAGTACTTAGGACGAAAGTTTTCAAAACCATCACTATCTAGCAGGTGCTCGCGTTACCGTAAAGCTCGCTTTGCGGGCAGGCCCTTTGTGCAAGCTCTTCGAGCTCGCTGAAAATTAGGATTAGAACAGTCAGGTGGAGGAACCATTAAGAGGGATAATAGTCAAACCATCTTATTATCACATCATTGATATGGACAAGATCACATGAATTTATGATAAATTCAATTTTATTCCGCCATTAAAATGTTTAAGTTGACGCATATCATAGTCTTATTGTTAAATAGTACTTAAATATCTTAGTAAACAACTTGTACGGACCATATTTGTCTTGAAAAAAAGAAGTTGAAGCAAAATTTATTACACTTAAAAACACAGGTGTCGATGTTGTACGTTCGCTTATATTGTCTTTTTTTGAAATGTCATTCAACGGTTTAAAATGAAAAATATTGAATAAAAAAACACTCTATTTCAATGTTTTTAAAATTAAAATCGTAAATTTAATTTCAAAAAGGGGTATTTGGTCACTCAATTAATTGTATTCGATGAATAATAGTTTATACATATTTTAAATTTGTAGTATCTAGTAAATCGTGCCGCCCGTAAAAAAACTGTCTTTAAAAACCAATTAAAGGGTCGGAATGTGCTTTGAAACCCCTCTCTTTTAATATTTTTTTGTTGGCATTTGTTTATGTACCCAATCTCCGAAAATTTGGCCCATTGTTTACATAATATAACCCCAAGTAATGGGAAGTAATTCGGGGCGCCCTTTACTCAGACCACCAACTTTTAAACTTTAAAACAATTAAAACCTTTTTTTAAAAATAATTCTTTAAATGCTTTTAACTGAAAAACCCGAAATAAATAAAAACAACTTTTTTGTTAAAAGAAGAAAAAATGTTCACGGGAGGGGAAAATTTTATTTTTTTGAAAATTTTTTCAATCACCAAAAAGATTTTTGCATATTTTTTTCCCCAAAAAAGTTATTTCCGGTTTTACTTGCATTGCTCTATATCTAAAATTATTACTCCGTTTATATGTATGATGTGTCGTTCTACTGTTTTCGCCCACGGCTCTGATTCATAAAATCTGTGTTTGACTGTAATTACAGGTAGAAAATAGCAAGTAATGCGATGCTTTGTCGTATATATGATCTTTATTTGTTTCTTTTATCATCCAGATAACTATCGTTCTTTGTAGTTAAACTTGAAAATGAACGCTTTCAGCATATCCCGACATATTTTTGTGTGTTAGATGATTATTTTTTTTTGGTTGGTACTATCTACATTATCGGTTTGTGCATGACACATCGTCTGACTGAGATGAAGACATATGCCAAATAAATTGTAAGCCAATCAAGTAATGGCAGAGTAAAAAGACAAACACAATCTGACTTTTTACCCAAAATAATGACATTGACCTTGAATATGATATATGAGTCTTACATGCGATAGAAAGTCCTACATTGGCCTCAAAGTTGTCGTCATAGGTTTTGCGCATAAACACCATCTGATTAAGATAAAGACATTTGCCAATAAATTAAACTATCCATCAATTAATGACACAATTATTAGACAAACAAGATTTGACTTCACACGCAAATAATAATGTTGACTTTGGCAACTGTAAAGACATACCCCAAATATTTCGACAATCAATCAAGCAATAATATAGATATAAGCCATAAACCGAATTTGAATTTTGATCTACTAGTATGGCATTGAAATTGAAGGTGTGCAAATGCGTCCCGCGCAAAACACATTGTCTATACATGTATATGGTTATCATGTGGAAATTCCATCATGCATGCAGAATGGACAAAAACTTAAGTTAGAAATATGCAAACGATATAGAGAATATTTATTTGTTTGTGTGTAAGATGAAATTTTATTTCATAAAGTGAGCTTTAAAAAAGTATTTCACGAGTGGCGATTTTTTTTATTATTTTATGCTTAAAAGAAGTTTGAATGAAATTTCCTTAATATTAACTTGAATATTAAAATCTGTTTTCCCACTTGTAGCCTCAATTTCAGACGAATTTCTCATAAATACAAGAAGTCTTGAGCAGAAAAATAAGTTTGAAAATCAACGTTAAATGGCGATGATGATATTTATTTTAAACAAAAACTTAAAATGATCGCTTGTTTTAATCATTATAACGAACATTTTAAAAAGATGAAACAGTTACACCAGCCCGATCATAATTCTGTTATATAATACACTAATAAAGCGGATGATTTGTATTTATATTAGTCTCTATCACGACGTAATTTTTAAAAGTTGTTTATTTCAAGCGAGGAAAGAATGAAATGCGTTTGAGTCGAAGGGATTTCATTTAGATTTAATAATTTTACGTCTATAATAAGGAAGAAAACCTATTTGTGGATTGTTACAGACAAAATTAATTATTGACAGCAGCGACTAGGAATTTTGAAAACATGGCATCTTTTGAAAGGCTGTCTTACGAACCCTGGGTTATTTACTTATCCAGAAGTCCTTCATTGAAAAAGTGTGAAATTATATTTTGATTATTTTCACTGTGAAATTATTAAATATAATTTTCACGGATAAATGTGTTATCAAATCAAAGCAAAAAATTAAATTCAGAAATATAATTAAAAATAAATAAAAAAATCGTATTGTTGTCCTTTTTTGTTTTAAGTTAAAACGCCCATTCTCAATAAAACAAAGCATTTGAGGTTGAAAAATATTAAAAATTTGATGTTGTCATTGTGTCATATTTTATCGCTGAAGTAAAAGTTTAGAGTATTTTGCAAGTTTGCCAGAAATATTTTGAACAAGAAACTATGATATAACAGGATGGCATTTATTTCGGTAATGACACTGTATTTCTTTGGTAACGTAGATTTCAGATCTAATAATGTAACATATTGGCTGCATATTAATAACAAATGTCTGTAAAATATATCAAAATCTGTAAATTCTCTATCTAGAGGGACTTTCTAACCCAGGAAAAATCAAAGAAGTTCGGTACCTTGCTGATTTTCAGTCAATTTCTTCAAAGTTAAATATTCGTAGAAAGCAAAAATAGTCAATTTTGGAAATGATTATTTTATGTCTTCATTCAAAGGATATATATCATATATAATATATGAGAGGTCGAATGCATACACAAATTTTGTATAAGCAATATTTTTTTCAAAACATTCAACTTTCCACTTTCTTAATATTTGGAAAATTTAGTTCTAAGCAGTTCGATATTTATCCCCATATAGGATGTCACGTATGTTTCATTTTATTTAAATGCAAGTAAAGGTTGAGAAAACAATATTATTTTTTGTAAAATAATTTATATTTATGGATATTATTTTAATATTATTATATATAGAATGAAATACGGCCAGTAAGCATTTTGCAGAAACGAATTAGTTGTTGCTGAGAACATCAATACCTTGTAATATATTTTTAACATTTCTGCTGGTACATCAACATATTATTAACATATCTTTCCTTTGTAAAAACAATTTTGTGTCTTCTTACATCTTACACAAGGTAACCGTTACTAACAGGCATGCTAATCCCAACTTTATCTTTAATTTTCAAAAATTGTTGAATTGTAAGTTGGAGTAACGTATGTTTCACACTCGCTCATTTATGAACTTTATCACGGAATTTAAACTTACATGTAAAATCGACTTTTTTATTTAGGAATCAAATGCACATCATTCTATTGTCATAAAAATGCGATTTTATGTTTTATATATGCATGTGTAAACAATATAAGGTCTGTTTGATAAAAGTAACGTTTGTTTCACTGTGGTTACTTAAACAAGTAAAAACACGACCAAAGTTAACAAAATTTACTTACTAATGTCAAATAGAAGTTAATGTTGATGTAATACGTGCTTTCTGACTTCAATTTCCCTTTTGATAAACTTACTTTAAAAATTTGATAACGTATGTTTCTGTAACGTATGTTTCATTTTTACATTGAGAGTGGGTTAAAAAATGACGCAAGACCGTTTAAGCCGCCATAATTTGTGGTTAATATATCGGAGTTACACACATATTAATTTTCTTTCTTGTTTGGATTCTTCTTTGAATGGATTGGCTCTTTAATGATGGTAACGTATGTTTCTTTTTAAAGTGCTGTTGAAAAGATTTGAATAAAAAATGAAAATTTCCGAAAATAGAATGATATTTGAGAAGCTGCAAGCTTATTTTTACTTATAATTATATATATGCTGTATTATTAAGCATGCATCGATTCAATTATGTAATTTGGGTTTCACTTCTTATTGTTTTAGGTTTGTCACTATTTATTTATATGCATTTGGCGACATTTGATCATCCATTATACCAATGAGATTTAAACAGTCAAATATAATGTTTACCAATAATCAAAGTGCATATACACACAGCAATGACTAATTGCACATGTTTCGTTTATTCTGGAACTTATTTTTCTGAAACACAATTTCAAAGTTGAAAATTCTAGGTGGCGACAGTAACGTATGTTACATTTTAGGGCATTAATGGTACTTGTAAAAGAAAAATAACAGATAGAAATGTAAAACTGAGAGTGTCCCTATTAGACAAAGTGGCAGCCACCTTTCTAACGACATTTTGACCTCAAGAAAAACCTTCATATAAGAGTTACCCAGTGGAACATCAAATGCTGTGTTTTATTGAGAATGAGCGAAAAGCGTTGCAACGCTATATAATTTGGGGTCATTTTTCACAATTATTATAATTATTTTGGGAAAAAAGAGTTGGCGATGAAATTCTGCATTTATGTTCCTGAGCATTAGACCTACATCAAATGGAACATTAATCTCGAATATTATTTCCAGTCTCGGGACGTCAAAAAATTTCAATGGAGTCTGTATAATAAAAACGAACTGTGCTCTTCGGTCCGGTCTACATATCTTTACATTTAAGTCAAACGACTACTGGTGTTAAGCTTTTAATCTAAAGCTGTTTCGTCCATTTAAGACTTAGTACATGCATCACAATCTACAAAAGACTCAACAATAGTGGCAATATTTAAAACGTTATTTAAGATAATAATATTATAATATTATGAACATGCTAGCAATTTGTAAATATTTTCTTAATAGTTCTGTGAAAAGATTCGTGTTCCCCATTAGGTAGGAACTTTCGGCAGAATTTTTTTTTGATTGTTGTTGTTAATTGCTACCCTGGGGTTTCCGGAACGATGTAAAATTGCTTGTTTAACTTGTTTACTTTTATGATCATCAATTTCATCAATTTATTTTTATCAAAATCAAAATATCAACAGGGAAGTGCCAACTTATACACGATCTATTTTAATTCATACAGTAAACACACACAAGAACAGTAATCATTATAAACGGCGCATATCTTATTAGTATTTTATAAGGACTGGTTACATAAAGTTTGGTTTATATGCTTTCAGCGAAAAATGAAAACATCTATATACTTTTTGTTTTCAGTTGTTCTTCATGGAGCAGAGGGCTCAGAAAGCAAACGACCAAAAAACCAGCTATGTCACGGAACAGAGGACCAACCATTATCTCTCAGGGATAGAGATATCTTTAAGGGTTTAAGAAACAACAATTTTATCAATCATTTTGCTGTATACACAGATCTTTATTTTAGAATAAATTATAATTCATGCTAAATGCGACATAAAATCATTTTGATTTTTGCATAAATATGTGGATTGTAGCTCAAGGGTCAATGCCTCATTCTTTATATAAAACTGTAGTGATTCGTGTCCGGTAAGACTGTTTTTTGGCATATTAAGCCGATGGTTTGCAAAGATCAGGGTTAAGATCACACTAAGGCTTGAATATATAATTTTAGAAAGCGCATTTATAGCCGTATCCGGTATATCAGTTCTTTCTGTCGTTCCTTTTTGAATGTAAATCATGCCCATTCTGTAACAGATTTTAAAATATTTTGCCTTAAATTTGTAGCACTTTTAAACCATATTCGATGTCAGACAACATGTAAGTAGCTTAAAGCTGAAGATCACATCTTGACTTCATAGGCAGTATTTCCAAAAAGCACTTTGATGTTCAAGTCCTGTCATCAGTTCCACCATTCATTGATTGAATGAAAAATAAGCAGGCATTAATAAATCTGTGGGACATATATGATTTGTCATGCTCAAATGGCAGGTCGTCAGTTAAAGATGTCAATGTGATACAGGCTTATATAATGGGCATCGATGTTTGTATATGGTCATATCTTTTTCGTTGATTTGTGGATGTGTTTTGAAATTTGGGCATATTTGGCATATAAGAAAGTGTTTCTTTACTTTAGTAACATCTTGTTAATGTTACTAATTACTATGCCGTCAATATGAGTCAAAAGTCATGATTCCTTTACTGGGGCCGCTTCGGGAACAGTCGTCTATTTAAACGACAATATTTTATATCATAATGACTGAAAGCTATTTGAGGAATATAATAAAACTCGTTACTGAAACACAAAGTATCAGAAGAAATTGATTAATTGCAGTATACGTACATTTCATAATTAAATTCGCGACAAAACCAAAGTGAAAATTCATCATAGCTTTTGAACTTTATCGAATATTGTCTGTTTAATGTTTCAAATAATAAGTTGTGACTGTTATGAAACTTACTTTCAATTCTATTAAGTCTTTTTTTTTAATTTTCAGGTACACCTCCTGAATTTCAAATTGACTGGACAAAAGTTTTCTTACAGTTATCAAGATCGTTTCCTGCAACACGCTGGAAACTTTTTGCGTTGGAATTACTAAGTAAGTCTTTAGTTAGTTTATTTTAAAATTCGCCTTGACCTATTTATATGCTTTAGTAATCTATATAATACTATTTAAATGGAACAATTAAATCTAGTTTTTAATGCCATCGTAGCATTTGCGATGGCATATAGCGATTCTCATGTACGTGCGTGCGTGCGTGTGTTGGTGTGTGTGTTGGTGCGTGTGTGTGTGTATTATAGAATATATAGTGAACTTAAAAAATCTTGTGAAAACCCACTTGTCCAATTTCAACCAAACTTGGCAGGACTGTTCCTTGGGTAAACGGCTTCCAAAATTGTTCAAAGAATTTGATTCCATGCAGAAATCTGGTAATCTGGTTGCCATGGCAACCAAAAGGAATGAAAAGACCAACACGGCCTAGGGCTTAGATATTTTGCATAAGGCATTGTCTCAAATTATAGCCCTAGGGTCAAAATTAATCCTGCCTCGGAGGTCATTGATTTTCACTATGGACATATAGTAAAAACGTAAAATATCTTCTTGTCTGAAGGTACAGAGCTTAGAGCTTTGATATTTGGCATATGATATCATCTATAGATCCTCAACCAAAAGTGTTCAAATTTTGCCTCTAGTGTCAAAATTGGCCCCGCGCCGGGGGTCATAGGTTTTCCATATATGTATATAGTAAAATCTTAATAACCTTCTTCACTTAATTAACAAAGGCTAGAGATTAGATATTTGGCATGAAACATTGTGTAGTGGACTTCTACCAAGGTTGTCCAAATTATAGCCCTGGCCTCACCCTGGAGGGTCATTAATTTTCATTATGTACATATACATGTAGTTAAAACTTGAAAAATAATTTTGTCTGAAGGTACAAGGCTTAGAGTTTTGATATTTGGAAATAATATCATTCTCAAAAAGCTCTACCAAAGTTGTTCAAATTTTGCCCCTAGTGTCAAAATTGGCCCAGCCCTGGGGTCATAGCTTTTCCTTATATATATATAATAAAAAAATTAAAAAAAATTCTCAGAATGGACAAAGGCTAGATTATTGTCATGAAACATTGTGTAGTGGACCTCTACCAAGATTTAAGCCAAGGGTCAAAATTGGCCACACCCCGGAGTCATTGATTTTCATTATGTACATAAAGTAAAAACTTTATAAAAATTGTGTGAAAGGAAACAACTTACATTGGAATGTCTAATGCATGTTATGCCATTTTTATGTAAATTATTCAATAGCTTGGAGTAAGTCTAAAGGTCATGATGTTCAGAGATATTTATGAAATACAGCTAGTCAACGTGTATAAAGCGACCGCGTAAGAGAAAAAACAAAATTGGTCACTTAACGAAACGGTCTCTTAAGACAAAGCATAAGAAAAAAGAAAACATTTATACATGGCATTTTTCCTCGGCGGTGGGGAAGTTTTTAAAGTTCAAACTTTATTTATATAAATGTTTCATAATTATAACGCTCCGATTATCTCAATAGATGCTCAAAATTGCCCAAAATTACTATTTTACGTTGATTTTTTCCATCAAAATTGATTTCAAAGTGCTGCAACTTCTCAATGGATTTAGATAGAGTCAAAAGCTTTTCATCGTTGGTTACACATTACCTTACAATCGACCTGGGGTCATTTGATCCCCTCACAAGTCCAAAATTTTCTTCGCGATGAGGGGGACTACCGTCCCCTTCATACCCTCA